TTTTTTTTATTTTTTTTTTTTTATTTTTTTTTTATTTTTTTGTCTCATTTGTTTTATGTTGTAGTGCGTGTATAATTTATATTAACAACTAAGATATGCAACATTAAAAAACTGTAAAGATAAATACGAATTATAAAGCTTAAAATAAAGAAAACTTATGTTTTATGAAGCACCTGTGGGCCAACGGAAGCTTGTGAGTTGCATTCATTTATGCTTATGCTTTGCAAAGACATAACAAAACAATATCTCACCAAAATAAATTTAATTACTAAAATTATTCATATATTAAAGGCAAATATAAAGCTCAAATAAAACAGTAAGACAATGAGATTGATTAATGAAATGGTAAAGTTTAAATGACAAAGCTAGTAGTGACATATGAGTATGTGTACATTAGTATCTCACATTTGTCTTTTTAATTTTTAAGTTACTTATAAAAAAAATATATGATTTTTATTCTTTTAAATTTTGAAATCATTGTTTTAGCTTCTTAATAATCATTTTAAGATACTCTTTATGAGTACATCTTGTACTCTATTAAGTATGATTTAATAAAAAGTATGATTAATTAAAATCTTAAATTTTCTAAAATTATTAAAATGATATTTTTATTAATTAAATATTTTTTTTAAAATATTTTAGAGACTTTTAATAATTATGAGTATTTTAAATAAATAATAAATATTTGTGAAAATTATTTTGTATAACATTTGTTAAAGAAATGTGTATTTTATGATATTTTGTTATAATAGGTATTTAGAGAAAAATATATTTTTTTATTATAATTTTTTATTGTTTATATATTTTTATTTTAATTATAATGGTGTTGGGAAAAATATATTTATTTTATATATTATATATTGATTAATTATTAATTATTGTACTTTGTTATAGTTATCAGAGTTGGAAGAAATATGTTTATTTGATATATTATTTATTTATAAGTTTTAATATTTGAGAGAAAGAAAAATAGAACTATGGTTGAAGTATTTTTTTCTAAAGGGTTAAGTGTAGGTTAAGTTTTTTTAAAAGGATTACTACAGTTCTTTATTTTTATGCTTTGAGGAATGAGAGGGAGAATTAGAGCTTATAGGATAACATCTTACATCCTTCATCAAGCTTTCATCAAGGTAAAAGGAGAGTAAGTAATATCACTTTAGGATATGAGATAAGTGTTGGGTTAGGTTTTTTGTACAAAAATTTGATACCCAATCCAAAGAATAATGGGTTTGATTGAGTTGGGTTGAATTTTACATAAATGCTCTAAAAATTCAATCTAAATTGTTTGGGTAGGGTTTGGTTGGTTTAAGTTTATGAGTACCCATACCTTTGAATACTTCTAATATTTTTATTGATGTATGAGAAGTTATTTTCTATCACACTCATAACTTTTATTTTGAATTTTAAAAACTACAGTCTTAAAATATTAGTCACACATGATATTAACTATAGATTCTAACCCAACTGGTTAGTAGGTTCCTGAGTGTTATAAATTCCTTATACATATGCGTTGAGGAATAAACAAAGTTTCACATTTATGAAAAGATTTATAAAACATACACATAATAGATAATATCATACCAACATGGAGATATGTGTGTTTGAACTCCTAGTATCCATTAGTGGGTTAGATTCTCATGCATAAAAAAAAACTACTATATTGGTCCTTATATATGAGACACTTTTCAATTCTTTATTTGTCTCTTATTTATAAGCCCAATTTTTAATTGTTAATTGCATTAGATATATTTTTCTTACAATACCTTTATTGAATTAACATTTTTTTAGATGAAAAATTATAAATATTTGAAATTAATTAAATAAAAATGTCTCTCTCTTATCAACATCAAAGAAGATAAATAAATATATAAATATTTTTTATAAATTTTTACATCATTCTTTTTTAGACATTAATCCATATATATAAAAGACAAAAATTATCTTACACGAGAACGTTTTAAAAAATTTATTTGATAATAAAGTTTTTAGGAATTCTTTTAATTTTATATCTATTTTAATTTTTATTTATCATAATTATTTATAAATTAAAATTTAATATTTTTAAAATAAATTATTAACAAATAAAAATAATTTTACGTTAAAATATAAATTATTTATCATAAATCTAAAATATAATTTATATATTTATAAATATTTACTTATTTAAATTTTAAATATAATTTATATATTTTAACATAGTATTTATTTATATACATAATTTAATTTTAATTTTAATTATATATGATCAACATTTAATATGTGTATTATATACATTGAAATACTAATTAACTAATTGTATGATAAATAATTTAAAAAATTAGAAAGTTAATTTTAAAATAGTATTTCAACATTCTAAACTAAATTAACTAATTTTTTAAATTATGTAATTTAGTTAAAAATTCTTACAGTAAAGAGGAGATACTACAATAATATTCATGAGAAATGCAAATAAGTGAAATAACTATTCCTTAGAAATATAATGATAGGTTGTAACTTGTAACAAACAACCCCCTCAAAAGTAAATTTTTTCCTTATTTCTTTTTCTGTGGCTTACTTACAACTCGATCTCTGTTGGTCTTCCGCTTTTCATTCTCCTTCTTAGTCGCGCTCTATCCCTTCTCTCTTGCCAAATCTTCCTCCCTTCTCTTTACCTTGTGATTGACATGTCTTCTGTCGCCGACGGCGTTACCTCCAACGCTCCTCTGCAATATTTCTGCTATCAGTGCAGCCGCACCGTCTCCATTACTCCTTCCTCTGATCTCGTGTGCCCCAATTGCAACGGTGGCTTCATCGAGGAAGTGGAAAATCCAATTCCGAGCACTCCCCATCCATTCTCTTTCACGTACGAGTTTGGTGGCGACGATCTCCCCAGCCTCTTCGGCGGTCGATCGTCCCATTTCGGAGACGCTGACGCCTTCAACCCTTTGGTATTTCTTCAGAATTACATTCAAACCCTGAGAGCCGGTGGCGCTAATGTTCAGTTCGTAATTGACAACTCTGGGGACCCCACCGGAGCATTTCGTCTCCCCGCAAATCTCAACCTTGGTGATTACTTCTTTGGGCCGGGTCTCGAGCAATTGATTCAGCACCTTGCGGAGAACGATCCTAACCGGTATGGGACACCCCCGGCCTCCAAGTCTGCCATCGAGGGGCTCCCTAACATCCCAATTACGGAGGAGTTGCTGGCCACGGATTCATCACAGTGTGCGGTGTGTAAAGACACGTTCGAGCTTCGGGAATTGGCCAAGCAGATGCCCTGCAAACACATCTATCATTCTGATTGCATCCTGCCTTGGCTGGAATTGCACAATTCTTGTCCTGTGTGTCGGTATGAGTTACCTACTGATGATCCTGACTACGAGCAAAGGGCTCGCGGTCAATCTACAGCTGCTAGTGCTGATTCTTCTGCTGATACAGACACCTCACAGTCACCCAGCGAGCGGAGCTTTAGGGTTTCTTTGCCCTGGCCCTTTAGGCAGTTTTCTTCCGTTGCGGAGACGAGCAATAACAATGGAAACACTACTGGGGATTCTAATCAGCCAGAAACCAGGCAAGAAGATCTTGATTGAGTATCATCAGTGTTTCGAATGTAAGTATGCAACTTCCTGCCCTTTCTTTCATACCTTGGCTTCATGCTGCGCTTACTGTATCATATTTATCATGGTGAAAGAATATGGTTTTTCTGTTTTTACTTTACCGATCAATTAGTCGCTTCATACAAAAGCAATTGGTACCATTAGCAATTAAAGTACGTGAGTTTGTTTTCTGGCTTAAAATTTTTTGGTTCTTATAATATTGACCTGATTCTAATTTGGTCCCTACATCACTCACCGCAGCATACTTCTCTTCTGATTAAGTGTGTCCAGTCCAGTGCCGTAAAATAAGGTCCATTTAAGAAGATAGTGTCCATTCTTGGTTATTTAATAAATTATGCATGATCAATATGGTAATTGAACTTGATAATTTTAATATCAGCAACGATTATTCTACTTTATACTAATACACTAATACAGATTGTTGCTGTCCTAGGTGCTCTGCTTCTCCATCTCTGCTGTCCCAACCACCTATGCTGCCCCAACATAATGCCTATATTATCTGTTGTTATTTTATAATTTTGGGAATGTTTTGTTTGAATGTTACAATTATTATGTTGGATATCTATTTATTGTTAATTCAATGTTGATTTTATCATTGTGTTAATTTGTTATTTAATAAATTATGCATGATAATGTTTATAAGTACCAATGGAATTTAAAATTTCAGATTGCAAAGCAACTATTGGTGAACATTTTTGTTATTGTTTGAAATTAGTAAGTATCATTCCTTGCTATAATTGCTATAATTATTCAATGTGTTTCTTTATATTACTTATATTTGGTCCACTATTCTTGTGAATCATAGAGCTGTCCCATTCGATTGAAGGTGAAGGATCTGATGGGGAGCCACCACAAAGGCGGGAGCTCCAATTCTGCAAGTGATTTTTCAGACCTGTCTTTGCAGTCTGAAGTTCTTAAAATGGAGCTTCAAGCTACCAAAAAGGAAAGGGACAAAGCAATTATGAAGCGTGATGTGTACAAGGAAGTGTTGGAAGAATTTGTTGATATGAAGTTGAAGGACTGTCAAGCGTGATGTGTACAAGGAAGTGTTGGAAGAATTTGTTAAACTGAAGTTGAAGGACTGTGAATGAATGAATTATGTATCATTTTTTTGTTGGGAAATATTTACAACTATGTAAATTAACCTTTCTTGTTCCATCAGATGCTGTGTGAATTTCTTTCGGGGCAAGAGCCTTGAACTCAGCATTTTCATTCAACATTTTCCACGTGCCCGCATCTATACATCATTGTCATCTATACTTTTTTTATAGAAATCAATGACTTGACAAATCTTTAAGCTTGTCTGTCATGATTGAACATAACAAAAGATAACAAAAATAAAACTAAGACTTTCAATGACTTGAGGTGCTAAGGAAATATGTACCTAAATAACCAATGACATTAAGGAAAAGTTAAATCATCAACTCACTTTACAAACGAAGGCTGCAACAGCCAGTTCTGACAAGTAACCACTCATTCGACTTAGCCACTCCTGACCTCCAATAGCAAAACCTTGCTCCCCAGACCACAGGCCAGTACCATTCTCAAAACCAACACCATTATGAAAGGTTGCTAGATGAGATTCTGAAAATGGTTTTCCATTCTGTATTGAATGGACTGCCCCATTAAAATTGTTAAGAGAGTTGAAACTTTCTTTATCAACAGCTTTCACATAGTTAGCAGTTGTTTCACTTTGCTCAACCCGTTTACGAATTAGCATGTCTGCCTCTTGAAGGGTCAAGAAACGAATAAGGTGCCCACTCTCATCAAGTATCGGACCATTTTCAAAAACGATTGCCTATACACTCTGACAAAGCGGTAAATCGAGCAGCAACAAGTTACAAAAACTTAAGCGCGTTAAATTTTCAATTGCGTATTCCTCAATTGTTTCACATTACAGAACAGAGCAAACAAGGTGCAAAATATGAAACTAGCATTGGCAACATAAAGGTTTCAGCTTGCGGAATCAAATTAGGAATAAAACCTATGGCAAAATTCGAAGTTGAAGGAAAGCGCATAAACTTAGATATATATATGTTTCAATTCAATCAAAACACAAATTAAACACACAAATTAGGAAGGAAGCTCACAAACCCTTCAAATGGAATCGCCTTACCGAGAATGTGATTAAGTATAAATTGCGATTGAAGGATAGAAAGAAAGAGGGGCTGGGAGTGAGCGAGGGACTGGGAGTAAGCGAGTGGGGGAGTGAGTGAGGGAACGAAGTGAGAAAAGAATTAGGGTGGGATTTTTTTCTCACCTTTTTTAATTAAAACCGCCTCCACTCACACTAAATCGTCCCGTTGAAAATATCATTTTTTTTTGTGGCGGTTAAAATAACTGCCAGGAATATAATATTTTGTAGCGGTTTTATGAAACCGCTAGAAAAATACCCCTACTAATTTCATAAATTTTTTTAGTGTACTAAGAAAATCATTTGAAAGTTAAATGAAATGTTGATGAAGTCTTCCTCTGTAAATTCTCCATCTTTACTTCGTTATGATACCACAGTTTTTGAGTTTTTTTTTTTTTGTCACATTTAACCATGCTTCTGTCACATTTATTTTTTACAATATTTAAAACTTAATGTTGATGCTTTCAAATATTGGTTAAGAGCTATTTTTTTGTGGTTTAATTCACTTTCTAGTATATTATTATACCTCTAAAATGTTTAGAAAAATATGAAGTATTAAATAATTTTTAAATTTAAAAAAAAAATTAAATTTAATCTATATATTAAGAACTTTTAATTTAACGATTAAATTGCTGAAATTTGATATAGAACGTGAATTATTAATAAGAATAAGTCTACCAAAACATACTCTTAGAATAAGTAAATCTTTTATATAAATTCAAACACGTGGGAGAAATATTGTTTAAAAAATTGAAAACGCTTCCTTATATCAATAAGCTATTCATGAGTCTTAAATGTCCAACTTTTAAAGTTTTGATTAAGGATATCCGCAGATATTTACGAATAAAATCTGCAATAGATACAAAATCAATATTATAAATGAGTATCAATGGGTAACGGGTACGAATATTTTTTATATCTACATGTTATACCCATTAATATTCAATTTATTTGTACTTGTATGAATTTGATTTTATTTAAAATTTGTTTGGACTTATAATAGTTAAGTATAGTACTTTATTATCTTTTATTTTGATTTATGTGTAATCAAAATATTTTATTTTAATAATTATTGTTTAAACTTTAAACTTATATAATTGAATGTTTAAAATTTATATTTGAAACTCACTGATTGGTATTAGGATAGGGGTGAGTTTTATGTTTTATTTAAAATTTGTTTGGACTTATAATAGTTAAGTATAGTACTTTATTATCTTTTATTTTGATTTATGTGTAATCAAAATATTTTATTTTAATAATTATTGTTTAAACTTTAAACTTATATAATTGAATGTTTAAAATTTATATTTTAAACTCACTTATTGTTATTAGTATAGCTGTGAATTTTATATTTTATTTAAAATTTTATATGCAAATTTTTATTATTTTTTTTAAAAAAATATTACAAATAATTAAAAAAAATTGAATATTTTTAAAATATTTCTTTTAGTAATTACTCGTCGATATCATGGATACCACAAATATTGAAGAAAAAAAATGTAAATATCCGCTCAATGGATACCTGGACGAATATAAACATGGGTATGAAACAGATATTTATCCAATAAAAAAGATAGTCGAGAATTACTATCTATATTCGCTCTACCCATTGATATCCTTGGTTTTCCCTCAAATTTCTCAATCATTCAAATAATCTAGTTCAATTTTAAATTTGTGTTTGTTTATTTAATTAAATGAGTGAGTATGAATGAGTAAATTGACAAGTGAAACACTAGGAATGATAAAGCATATTCAAACCCTATGCATAAATATCCACTAGTAGGGGCATGTATTTACCTGCAATTTTGGATAAATGCCCGTAAAATTGTTCGGTTATGAATTCGGGTACTATAGTACCCACCATCCTGTACTTATTATATATTAATATAATTCAATAAATAATATATATATATATATGAAAAATAACTATATATATGAAAAATAACTATATTTACGACTAAGGTTTCAACAAATCAATAATATAATAAAACAGTATTGTACCCTTCCTCAACTGTAATAATTTGATAAAATTGTCCACTTCGTATCAATCGCTCAATAAAATTGTCCACTTCCTCAGCATATATAAAATTTATTCCTTCTGACATCACTGTAATAGAATTAAATGAACTTTCATCTACAAGCCTGATCTCACCGGTGTATTGGCAGCAGCAAGTTTTTCCTGAAGTTTTGTTATCCGAGCCTGTTTAAACATAAATGTAAATAACAAGAAAAATTCTAGATCCTCCTAAACACATTTCGATGTAATAAAGAACAAATGAAGTCAACATCCTTTCATCTCTTTCGAGGATTACTACAATTATTTAGATTGATGTTTGACATAGCTCACAAAATCCATGGGAAATGCAATCATTTTTCTGACTTACCAGGTTTATTACATCTTCCTTTCCAAAAACCACAGATATCTGTTTGTGATAAAAGAAATACATTGATGAGAATAGCTGAAAGCAAAAATTACCTTGAATGATTTAGAATGACGAATCGAAGGATCTACATCTAAAGATGCTGAATAAGACTGTTCTGCCAAATCAAATTTGTTCATTGCCAAAAAGGCATCACCCTGGCAGATATAAGCCTGCAGAGTGAAGTAACAATAAAGTACATTTACATTTAACAAGGACCATCAAATCACAAGTTTTAACTGAATAAAGGTTTTGTTAAACATAGGCATAGCAAATACTAGTGAAAAATGAACAACCCACGCTGATGATAGGCAAATCATATCAAGGTGAGAACAGGATAGAAATCTGTTGCTGTGACATTTTATCATATGAGATTTTAGTAACAATGTGAGGGTAGGGGAGGGGGCATGGGAGACTGACTTAGCATTAAGGTACTTATATCAGTTATATGAAAAGGTGGGCCTCCGTGGGTCAAGAAACTTGTCTACTGTAAAATCAAGATGGAATTTTCAAAATGTTTCTTATGCCGAAAAAGCTCAACCTCGCGAGTATTTCACCTTTTCACAAATTCTTCACCATTGATTAAAATTTTATTAAAAATAATAAAATTTAGTGAGTCTTTTTGTAATTTTTAATTAATTTTTTATCAATAATAAAGAGTGTGACAAAGATTCTTCTTCCATAGAATTTTTCATTTTCATGTACTACTTCTCTGTTCTCTACTATAAGAAAAAAGAATATATTTTTTGCTCTTTAATACTACATCTGATTGTACTATTAGTAACAAATTAAATTTTTTTAATCCTAATTATAAATAACAATTATTAATTTTTAAAGTTATTCAAGCTAAAAACCCTTTTATACCCTCCATTTATTATTGGCTTTATTTTATATCATTCAGACTAATATTAGATATAACAACCACTTAAAGTAAATAATATGTTTGAAATAAAATTTGAATTTGTGATAGAATTAATTAAAAATAATCATATCAATTACATTTCTTGATTTTGATGATTTGTCCTGTTGTTTATAATTAGGACAAAAAATAATATAAGCAAATTTTAACTATTTTTATCTTATTTAATGATATTTCTTCTAAAATATCTCTATTCTAAGTGACTTTTCAGTTATACTATCTTTTTTTAGACATTTATAAAAAGAATAATTTAAGAAAAATATTAAGAGATTAATAAAATTTAATGTAGATAACTAATGTTCTTAATATGTATAATTTTTTTTAACTTATAATAGAGAATTGAGGGAGTACTCTTCATCCCTAAAAACTTTCAACATTTTAATTTAGAACACGCAAGGCAGCACGCATTCTTTCCCAAAAAAAAGTTAATAATTGTATGTTGTTATTAGCGATGGCAGAACATCATTAATAATAACCCAAACTATACTTCAGTACTTCACACAAATAAAATCAGTTGAAAGTTTTAAGTATTTAACTTTGACTCAGCATGGATAACTTTCTCTGTAGACACTCATAAGTGAAGAAAATAAAAAGAAAAAAAAAAAGTTTAGTTTCTCTCAATAAAACCTACATTTGCACTTTAACTTATGTAGAAATTTTCTCTTCTAACTTGTTCAAAAGCTAAGGCGCATAAGTTGAATTTAGTTTATGAGAGAAGTTAAACCCACTTGGGTTGCCTAGTGGTGAAGGAGTTCGTATAGTTTATCCAAAGCTTTATGTTCAAACTTTGTTGTCATCAAAAACAAAAAAAATAAAAATAAAAACCTTATAAAAGAAGGTTGATTCATTTTATCATCTTACTTGTTAATTCACTGTTTTAAATAATAAAAAACTGTTGTTTAAAATTTGTTTTTCCCTGAGCAAATCTAAAAGTTTGCCCTTGAGCACTTGAACAGAACCCTTAAAGAAAAGGGAAGCTGAAAGGAAAACATCTCCAAAGATGGAGGAGTTTTAACACATTCTTTTATATAAACTTATAAAAATTAAAAAAAAATTAATTATAAAATAAATAATCTAAATTATATTTATAAAATAAAAAGTAAGATAAAATTATAGAGATTAAAATTATAAGATTTCAATAATGTTATAAAACATTAAAAAAGAAAAGAATTAATAAATAGTAGAAATAAAAAATTATTAAAATTATAATATAGAAATTCAAAAATTTAAGACAAAAAGACAAAAATATACTTAAAAAATAATTCAAATTAAAATATAGAAATTCAAATATTTTAAGTGAAAAGACAAAAATATACTTAAAAAATTATTAAAATTAAACTATTTAAATATATAATAATATTATTACAAATAAAATTAGAATATATAAAATAAAAATAAAATGACTAAATGATTTAAAAATTTAAAGAATAAAATATCATAAATATTATTTAAATAAATTATTAAAAATATAAAATATAAAATAAAATTATAATTACAACTGTACCAGTACCCTCCCAAATAATATGGGTATCGTAAAAATTCTATAAAAAAACTGTTGTTTAAAATTTGTTTTTCCCTGAGCAAATCTAAAAGTTTGCCCTTGAGCACTTTAATAGAACCCTTATGGTTTGTTTGGATGAGGAATTTTACAAATTCAAGGAGTTTTAAATTCTTGGAACCAGAACGGTCCGTTCCGGATTCAGAACGGCCCGTTTCAGAACGCCAGTTAAGTGAAAATAATAGAATTATTAATTTGTTTTCTTTTAATGTCCTCTAAATTTTTATACTCATTTAAAACAAAAATATTTTATATGTTAATTTGAATTAATTTAACGAAGTATCATATGATTTTTAATTTTTTAAA